AAATTATTTTGATTACTTTTGACTGAGATGTATTTGTTTTTAAAAAATGACAATGCGTATTGTAGCAAGATATGTCGCGCAATGATGACCCTTGATTTCCCCTGGCGCCACTCGCCTCATCCCGCCGTGGTCCAAGTTTGATCGCTGCCATTATTGACACATGACTACCACACTTTTGTTTTATATAAAAAAATAAAAAATCAGGTCACAATATTTTATTTATTATTCTGCTAAGCTCTTTATTTCAAGCTAGCTATATCTAGAAAAGAAATTGAGTTAAATTTTTCTGGGAATAAAGTAGCAAGCTCCATACTAATTCGGTACAAGTCTTTTATACGTCAAACGTAATTTTTAAGCATTGAGTATATAACCAGAAATAGAGACGAAATGTAATTTCATTTGGTTGAAAACTATTCTGCCAAATGATTACGGTGACAACTGCGCTCCGATTGGCCAGCCCGAATTCGAAATATTTGACGGGTGTCGTCAATTGTTTCACTTCAAATCGACCGGTTTAACTTGAGCTTGGCTATAATGGGCCAAAATTGAGAAATGTGATTCCGTTTGTTTCGTAATTAGATATTTGGGTGATATTGTTTTTATTACAATAAGTACAGAATATTTTTGGAATATACGGAGACGTACACACTGGTCAGTTGTTGGCGCTGTACTATTTCAGATTTCTAATTTGTGATTCAAACGCGAGTTGATATTTAAAAGTGATTAAGGGCCAATTTGCTTATTTCGTCTCTATTTCTGGTTATATCCTCGATGTTTTTAAGCTACTGCTCATTCACTGAGAAGCAATTCAACGAGCAAGATCCTCTATGAGTGGTTACACACGGCGACTAAGCAGCGATGCAAACACGCGCTCGAGTAAGGCGCATTTGCATCGCTACACTTGCTACGATTGCATCACTGCTTAAAATCGCGCGCGTGTGTAAAGGTAAACGATCAGTGACAGCATCCCTACCGTATCGCCTTTGCACCGCTGCTATAAGTAGCTATGTGTAACCGCCCTAATGGTTGCTCTTTTGAAATAAACTTAAATGCAATGGAATACACTTTGAATCAAATTTGTGTGGAATCTAGACCAATGTCGTCTTTCCATACATAACTAACGCACGATTCGAGGACTCGATTGTGTAATATGACTTTTCAATTAAAGTACTTTAAATGTAAGTTTCAAACTTAAAAAATGATAATCTTAATATAATGCTTACGGTTTGCTGGAAGATGCTGGTTCGAATCGAAGGTATTTTTTCTAAGTGTTCAATTTTTACTTAGATTTACATTTTTACGATTTTCACACATTATTTGATTTTTATTTCGAGATTTAATTAAAACGTTTGACTCGGATTCGGAAACCATATCATTATCCAACAGCGTTTACGGAGTTAGTCGTTAAGAAAAATGAAAATCCTTTCTTATACACTATTAAGACTTTAAAGGGCTAAAATATAGGAATGCATTATACGTGTAATCTGTGGGTCAACTTTACGCAGAAGACAATCAACGCCCTGCGCGTTCAGTACAACAACGCGTTCAGGGTTTTATTGGGTTTGCCACGGTACTGCAGCGCATCAGGCATGTTCGCGGATGGTTTCCATGCTATCCTTAGAAAGAGAGCTGCCTCATTAATAAGTCGTATCCGTTGCGGCACGAATGAGATTCTGCGCGTTGTGCCTGGTATAGAGGAGTGCCCGATCATGCTACATTGCATGAAACTGCATTTAAAACCATGTCGATGATGTATTTGATATTTAATTTAATTTGTTTAATTATTCTAAGTTTTTTAAGTTGCCTTTTGTTTATTTTAATGTGTGTAAATATATTGAATTATCTAATCTAATATTGTAACTGTAAAATATGGACTGTAGTTGTCTGAGAATAAATGATTTTTGATTTTGATTAGTCTTGCATTGAAATAAATTAATAAAATTGAACAAAATCCAGACTTTATTTAAAACAATAAGAGATTTCCATATTACATTCTTGCTTTGTAAACAATAGGACGTTTGGTAGCTTTCATTCGATAACTGTGTTCTGAGTGACGTTTGGAGCCTTTGCCGGTCGAGAAGTACGAGTAGTCGTACTGGTGTGACGTCATTTCGGTTCGGTTTCAAATCTGACGTTCGTTTCGGGTGTTGGAATGAAAGTGAAAAGAAATCGGTCCACAGTTGAGTTATCGTAAGGTTCTGAATGTAGCCCCTGAATCCACTTTCCATAGTACAAAATTGGTTTTTAATTTGGAATCTTCGATTAAATCCTGTCACAGGTGCGAGCGCGCCCAATTATAACAAACTAGTGGAGTCAATTCACAAAAATAAATGGATATCATGGTCAACAAAGTCACATTGAAATTAAAACTTAAAAACTCCAATTTCGATTACATTACTTATGATGACACATAGTTGACACGTCTCATGAGCCTTAGTTTCACCAGCCCTTCGAAACCGAAACGCAGTAATGCTCACAGTATCTAGTATTAACCAGAAATGGAGACGAAATGTCATTTCATTTTTTGAAAACTATTCTGCCAAATCATTACGGTGACAGCTGCTCCGATTGGCCAGCCCGAATTCGAAACAATTGACGGGTGTCGTCAATTGTTTCACTTCAAATCGACCAATTGAACGACAGTTTTGCTATAATGGAATACAATTGAAAAATTACCGTTTCTTTTGTAATTAGATGTTTTGCTGTTTTCACACCACCGAATGGAACAGCCCCTCATAGTTAGAGATATTATCTTTATTACAATAAATACAGAATATTTTTGGAATATACGGAGACGTACACACAGATCAGTTGTTGGCGCTGTACTATTTCAGTTTTCTAATTTGTGATTTCAGCGCAAACGAGAGTTGATATTTAAGAGTGATATAAGACCATTTGCCTAATGAGTTGCCAGGGATGGATAGCACTTATTGCGTCTCTATTTCTGGTTATATATTCGTTAGCTCACAGTGTGATATGCCTTACTACGACAATTTAAAACAATCATAATACAATTAACTACATAAACCACACAATTAATATTAAATAAATAAAACATAGGAACTTTATTATTACATCGATTTTTTAAAAAGATTTTTCAACTAAAGAAATACCTTAATTATCTTAAACTACATCCTGCAACGTTCATGATTACCCCCTTAACTGTCCAATTTCAAACATGATGATCATAACACTTGTTTACAGTAAAACAAATGAGTCATGTTATCGATTTTCTATACAGGGTGATTTTTAAAATACTAACAACCTACTATTACTAATATCATAAACAACACCTTTTATTCCATGAATTTTTACAAAACAGTGTTAATGGCCTAAATTATGCCCACAGGCTTTTCCATTATATTATGGCCTTAATAAAAGTTTTTATGCTCGAAAAATCTGAACGTATGTTTCGAGTAAACGAAGTATAAAAAGAACTAAACATTTGCAAATTAACTATATTTTACTAAATGTATTTTATGAATTCAAATTGCGCAGTATTTTTAGAATTTGTGAATTATTTATTTTACTACTAATACATTGTGATTGCATGCCTTTTATAACATTTTAGTTCGAGTTGTATTAACTATAGATGGAAGAATCAGCTTTTTTTTTTTAAAAAAACGCGCCTTTTGCAAAATCTGTCAATGTTGTGTTGTGAAGCGTTATATAATCATACAAGAAATAAATTATAGTCGTAATAAGTATCATCGTGGAAAACATTGTATGTACGGGCGGTAAAAATTACAAACCTTGAGTTCTTAAAGCTCGAACTCTCGTTAGTAATTTCTTATTTACTGCCCTTAAAATCTGTATTTGGTAGTAAGGTAAGTTCAAACGTGCAAGCGTCCTCCACGACGACCCCCACCCCCGACCTGCACAGAGTTATTACCGTAATCTGACGAATTATAAAAATTTTGGAACCCACGTCTTCCAGTAAACAGTAGAGTAATTTCACAAAAAAAAATTGAATATCATAGTGATATCATCCTGATATTCAATAAAAAACTTAAACAGAATTATAAATGACGCGACGTCTTCGTGATGGTTCCAACAGCCTTCTGAATTCAGTTTGGGAACAGCCGGCTTGCGCTTTTTGGAAGCACTGGAACCTAGTGCATATGGGTTCCAGGGGCTTAGTTTATAATTTAATGTAGTTTATTATTATTATTATTATTATTATTATTATTATTGAATTGTTCATACTAACATAGGCTATAAGATTTTGTAACTAACACACTATGGACATGGTCTGAAATAAATGAAATTATTATTATTATTATTATTATAAAAAGTTATGGAAAAAAAGTTGTTATTTTGATAGTAGTTTTAGTAAGCATTAACATTTTACACATAACCCTGTATATACTAGGTGATGGAATTCGAGATTCAAAATGTAAATAAACCACTGTTCCTGTCAAAGTGACAGTTCAGAGTATTCTTGTTTAGTTTTTTATGTCAAATGTTTGGAGATTGACAGTTCTAACGATACCAATAATCATGCGCCACCTAGCGGGCAAAGTTACCAGCGTTGCTCCATTGCGAGCAACAAATATTATTAAAATCAAATTATAAAGCACATATTAGGTGGCTCAAGTATGTTGTGATATATTTAATAACAAAATTGATAACGAAAAATGTAGTACCTACATATAAAAAAAACATATACAGGCTGTCACACGGCTATACGACATCGGGGGAAAGTACTTAGTAATAATAACACACATTGCCCCGCACCAGGAAAACCCTGAGTCGCGGGTGCCAAGGACACACACATAAACAACCACAAATAACACCCAAACTCACGAGATAAATAAATGTAGGCCATACAAATATTTCTCCCGGCACGGGAATCCAATCCGGGACCTCCGCCCAGCAGCAGCTCTGGCAGCCCAGCATGGTAACCGTTCGGCCACAGAGGCAGTTAAAATAGTGTAATACTTTGTAGCCACGCCACCCAATTTTTTTATTATGATATTACCCATTGTAATGAACGGCTGACGTACATGATGTACGTGAATTTTTTAACCGACTTCGAAAAAAGGAGGGAGTTCTTAACTCGACTATAAAATAATCCTTATTAAAAATATGAAATTACTTTTTCACACACACCTTTTCATGGAGACATTACAAATGGATCATTGGTAATGTCTCCATGAAGAAAAATATCCTACATGTACAATATTTTAAAGTACTTTCCTTTGTATTGCATAGCCGTGGCCCTATATAGGAAGAAAATATCTCAAACATAGAACTAAAATAAGGACTACACTTACAAAAAGTTTTTCTAACGTAAAAGTAGAATTTGTATTGTATTTACAAATAATAAAATAGGCGGCATTTTAATCACCATCCAAATTTTAATACTGGGTGAAAAAAAAATAAAATACTTTATTCAACAGTCTGTTACATCCTAAAAATAAAAAATTACGCTCAAGAAACATCAAACCAGTCATTGGTTGATTTCATTTTATTTACACCATCTCTGGGTTACTTTATTGTCTAATTTAGGTGCTTTCGTAAACTAAATATGATTTAAAATAACAGAACATAGTTTAACGTTACGAAAATTGCCTTAAAAACGAAATATACTTACATGTTACGTAGCTCACTTGGTAAGTGCTATACTACGGTGCAATACGCAGTCACAGTTGCTTTGTACACTTATTTATGAAATTATGTTGACACATAATGCCCCAAATCGAAGAAGGGGTTGGAATGATGTAGAATAGGTACCATAGGGCACTCTTAATTGCCGAAATATGTTGTGGAATGATAATAGAAAATTATGGAATATGTTTCAAGAATGTCATAGATTGTTTAAGAATTATCTAAAGTGCTCTGGAATAATCTAGAACGTTCTGGAATGTTACAGAATGTTGTAGATTATCTTAGGAAGTTTACGATAGAAGAATGTCCTAGAAGGGAGCGTTGTCATCCAAGGTATGCAGCCAATTGAAGATCATCATGTTCCTCTCGTACTTGGAGAGAGGCCGGCCGCGCTCGCGTTCCAGGTCGGCGGCAGTCAGCGCCAGGTGAGCCGCTTCTGCCGATGCAAACATTTCCTACTTGGTTAGACAGAAATGAAGGCTATTGACTTTTTTTATGACACCTCGTCGTGCGCCTGATGGAGAGCGACACGCCTGTCCACAACAGTTGCATTACTCACGACGAATTATTCAACAGCAAGTTGATTGAAAAATCTTCTTTATTCTTCTAAATGCCAATGCGTAAATGTGTTTAAACTAGTTATTTGCACTAGACGAAATAAGGGCCATTCATCCCTGGCAACCCATCAGGCAAATGGGCCTCATATCATTTTTAAATATCAACTCTTGTTTGCGCTGAAACCACAAATTAGAAAGCTGAAATAGACAACTGACTTGTGTGTACGTCTCCGTATATTCCCAAAAATATATTGTACTTTTTGTAACAAAGATAACATCCCTAACAATAGGGACTGATTCATTCGGTGATGTGGGAAAAACAGCAAAACATCTAATTACAAAACAAACTAATTTTCAATTTTCGTCCATTACAGTTTAATGCTCAAGTTAAACTGGTCGATTTGAAGTGAAACAAGTGACGACACCCGTCAATTGTTTCGAAATCGGGCTGGCCGATCGGGGCGCACTTGTCACCGTAATGATTTGGCAGAATAGTTTTCAAACAAATTAAATGACATTTCGTCTCTCATTTCTGGTTAAATACTCGACAGATGGCACGTGCTTTACCGAGACGGTCCACTCTTGTCCTATTGTACTCTAAAGGTGAAACCATAAAACGAATCGGTGCTAATAATATTTCGCCATCTGATGAAAACATGAACTGTAGATTAACGATTTGATACTAGGCATAAACGACATATTTGTGACTTACCTGGATGCACGAATTTAGTGTGAGGCTTGAGGGGGGGTACAGCGAGGGTGGTTGGGCCAGGGGCGACCACAGCTGAAGCTGCCGCGCTGACTGCCGCTGCCTGTTGCAGATTGAAAGATTTTTCAACATGGTAGCGTTAGTTTTTGATATGTCACTAAAAAGTCCATCTGTACTTGGCAAAAAACCTTTCCATTGTCAATCATTTTCATAGTAATGTATGTCCATAATAACTTACCTCTAATTTGTCCAGGTTAAATTCCGACTGGGACATTCGTTCCAGCGCTCTGTATGTTGTTAGGAGACGACGTTTTATATAGCTCTGGCGGACCTGAAAGGAATACAATGTATATATCAGTGTGAAGTCCGTCTTTTTTGAAGATGGAGTAAAATGACATTTCCATGGTTGCCAACTTTCATAAAATCTTAAATAGTCATGTAGTTGTTGTTGAGAATTTTATCGATAGATTGTGAAAGAAGGTAAAATTTTGCCAAAAATGTCTGAATTTTGAATGTTACGACATGATTACTAATTGCGTTTTAGCCATTGACTTACAATTATATGGACGTCGGGTCCGCGCTAAAAAGTGTCCGAACTTATAGGGCGTTAAAATCGTATACAGAGCGTCATTCACGCTTTAGTCTTCGTTTGTTCGACTGACAGCGAAGCAAGCAAAATTAGACAGTACTGCGATGACATTACAATTTAAATTCAACGTTTTAGCTTTTTCATATCCCTTTACATGTCACTACGTTTAAATAGGTTGACTTGGGACATTTTTTTCGTGGTTTTTGTATTAGACCCGTCGTACATTTATTTGTAAGTCAATGTGTATGAATGAAATAAATAAATAAAATAAAGTAAAACAAATGCTATTTACCTAATATTCACAGAAGCAAAGCGCTTCCGGGAATGGGTGGTATAACAACGACAAAAGGGTTTACAGTCAGCGAGGAACACAATCGTTTTGTACCTTCTTGTTGTCGTGGTTGGAGGGCCGAAGAGGCAGGGAGGGCGCTGGCTGCGCGCGCTGAGGAGACGGCAGCTGTGACCCTCCCACTGTAATTACATTAACAAAAACCATTAAAACAAGTTAACGGTATAAATAAATCTAGTTCTAGGTTTCGCTATCACATTTTTAGTAAATTAAAAAATAGCTTCATGCCTCTCTCCCACCGGGGTAGGCAGAAACTATGGATGCTGCGCAGCGATGCAAAATGTTGCGCGTGTGTAAAGGTTTATCTATAAGTCGCCCTGTGTAACAATTTCTAAAGTATAAATAACATACCCGCAACCCAAGTGCTGCAAGACCTGGAGGCCGCGCTCAACGTGAGCGCTTCCAGCGCTGCACACAATCCCACTTCGGATGTTGCGCTGAAACAGAAAAAGAAGTGGACAATAGATGACAAGTTACTACCGAACCCTGCAATGGTCATGCTAGTATTAACTTTTAAAGTAATGTTAGCGCACGGCGTTTTGTGAACGCTGGGTTTAAATACGGTTTCGCGCACTTTCCGGTAACTGATTAGAATAAAACTTGGCAAATAGATGTAATTCTACGAACTTTTTTGAGGTCGGTTTTTTCAATACTCTGTAATGAGGTTATTGAGAATCGAGTTTTGTTCAATTATTACAAAATGTTTGTTGCTTTCTTATTTGGACGATTCGATTTGCCTTTGTATTGAATCGATTCGCTTGAAAGCCGAATTGAAATACATCGATACAAAAAATCATTAGTTCGCGTGCACCTAAATCGATTTTCGTACAAATTCCTATCGCAATGTGCATCATTAGCAGTGAAAATACTCAGGATTGTAAAGTGAAAAAGATTTTTTACATCGTTTGTAATAAACATGGAATTATACTAAATTCGGTGTTCACCGTTTCCGCTCACAATTTTGGGTAAAAACTCGGTTAAAACCAGGGCGGGTTGATTAAATAATATAATAATAATAACGCACACACTTAACATAGCCCCGCACTAGGGAAACCCTGTGTCGCGGGTGCCATGAACAGAGACATAGACAACCACAAATTGCACCCAAACTCACGAGATAAATAAATGTAGGCCATAAAAATATTTCTCCCCGCCCGGGAATCGAACCCGGGACCTCCGCGTGGCATGGTAACCGTTCGGCCACGGAGACAGTTACGTTAGTTGGGTTTTGATTCACTACCTTATCTCTGGCCAGCATGAAAGCGTAGGTAAAGGCAAACTTTTCGACGACTTTCAAAAGAACGCCATCTGTGAGTGAGATCAGGAACTTGCACGTACCTTCTGAGCGGCTGTGCTGTAGGCGTGGTGGTGACGTCACCGGCGCTGAAGGACCGGCGTAGACCGAGCTGGGCACACAGCGCTGCGCAACCCGCCAGCAGCTCGCGGCAGTTGTCCACCGCACAAAGGGGGAGTGTTGAAGAGGGTCTTCTACGTAAATTCGAAATTTCTCTTTAATATGAAGTGACAGGACGAACCAGTCGTGCGCCTGATGGTAAGCTACACGCCTGTCCATAACAGCTGCAATGCCACTCAGAGCTTTAAATCGCAACTATCTGAGGGACACTGCCACTGCGCCCGACACCCTGAGACGTGAGTTGACAAGTCCCATGGTCCTGTAATTTCACCTGCACCCGTGCCGTTCAAAACCGGAATGCAGTAATGTTCACGTAGAAATAGGTAAGGTGGCAGTACTTCCCTGGACGAGCTCTACTGCTACTTGTATTAAGTTAATATTAAAAATATGTGTTTTTAATTAGTTTTTGTGGTGGTGGGTATTGGAATTGTTTTTATTTTGTCTACCCAAAAAGTTTGGGAACCCAAGCTCTAGACAGACTACCGATTCTTTGGTCCTTTCGCTTAACTGACTACGTCCAGCTGTACAACATAATTTGATACATACTTCAGTGTCCTGCTGTCTGGATTTGGGCTGGAAACTCGCAGGGACGTAGGGTCCGGGCCTTGTCCAGCCTGAAACAGATTTTTTAAAAGCTTGAAACTGGGGTACTATTATTTAATGTAAAATAATAATAAGGGGTTTTCTTTCAAGGGCGCAACGCGTGCAACGTTACCACAATAGAACACCAATTTTTAACCCACTTCAAAAAAACTAAGTTTTCAATTCGACTGTATTTTTTTATATGAATGTTACACGATAACTCATTTGTGAACCGATTTTGATGATTCTTTTTTTGTTGGAAAGAGGGTACCCCGGTATTGGTCCCATTTAAATTTGAAGAAATTATTCCACTTGTAAGGGTGGTAAACTAGGGGATGAATCCGGTTTCACGCACTTTCCGGTAACCTATTTGAATAAAACTTGACAAATAGATGATTCCTGTAACAAAATTTCACAAATTTTTGAATTTTTTTTTATAAAAAGTTATAATATAATACAAAAATGGAACACTTAGAAAAAAATCCTTGGATCCGTCCGGATACGAACCGACGTCTTCTAGCATACCGTGCCAGACGCTATACCAACTAAGCCACGGAACTGAGTGTTCGATCTTTGTACTAATAATTATAACACACTAGTGGAGCAATTCCACAAAAAAAAAATTGAATATCAATTGAATAAAAAATTAAGTTATGATAAGACCGCCTTGTCGCCACGCCTAAGTTCTATCATAACGTAAATTACATATGCGATGTTGCTTTCTATCACAACAGCCTGTAATAGAGTATCTTTCTTCGCGTATACCTACTTCATTAGACTACTATAATAGGTCCTTGACCTCATATCGATCCTCTGTATCTGACCTAATGGGATCTCTGATCCCTATGATGGGAGTCCACACACACCCCTACAGCCCTTCCTCTGCCACCGCTTCATGCCTTCGCTTTATACCGTTAGTACACATGGCGGGTCTCATTCTAAACCTGTTACAGCTTCGTCATACTCTATTCAGGCTGTCTAGACAACAAATAATGTACCTAAACATGGTGCAAATTTACCAACTGTAGTGCCAACCCACCAGTGCACTCTCAGAGGCCTGATATCTCACCTTCACAATTTATGGACTGCCAGTCTAGCTCCCTATTCTTAGGTACAGACTAATTTGTTAATACTGAAATTACAAAACTAATAATAAATCGCGACATGCCTATTAAGTGTTAGTTTTTTAACCGACTTTAAAAAAGGAGGAGTTTCTCAATTCGACTGTATGTTTTTTTTTGTATGTATGTTACGCGAAAACTCTGGTGTTTGTGAACCGATTTTCATGATTCTTTTTTTGTTTGAAAGTTGGTACTTCCATAGTGGTCCCATTTCATTTTGAAGAAAATCATCCACCTCTAAGGGTGGCTGTTCACGCATGAAGATTAATTTTTATAAATAGCGCCTAAATTTTACTTAAAGAGCAATTATTTTAATGGTTGATTTTGCTATTTCTTTAATTCAAGGCGTTTTTCTCTCAATATACTTTGAGTAGTGTCGTAGTGAGAACCATTTTTATTATCTCCAGTGTCAAGTCCTGTATAGTGGCGAACTAGGGGATATTTCAATAAAACTTAGCAAATAGACGTAATGCCACTTACTTTTGAGGTCGGTTTTTTTAGTACTCTGTACTGAGATTATTACAGTTCTATTTATTTATTCATTATTTTTGTACCTTGCTAGCTAGCAAACGTAGCACGCGTGCGTCTGAGGCCGCCGACGACACGCTGAACAGAGAAAGATCTGTCGTGACGCTCTCGTGCGACGGCGACCGCGCCACGCCCCCGCCACGCCACGACTCCATGCTGCACATTTCCACTGAAATCAAGAATATATTATACGCATTGACTTACAATTATATGGACGTCGGGTCCGCGCTAAAAAGTGTCCGCACTTGTAAGGCGCTAAAATCGTATACAGAGCGCGACACTCCGCTTTAGTCTTCATTTGTTCTATGGACAGCGCGATACTGCGATGACATAACAATTTAAATTTCGAATAGGTTGACTTGGGACATTTTTTTCGTGGTTTTTGTATTAGACCCGTCGTCCATTTATTTGTAAGTCAATGATTATACGTTTATTATTTGTGTCAGTTTTAAAGATCCTTGTGGAAGAGTTCGTCCAGGGAAGTACTGCCATCTTACCTATTTCTACTGCCAAACAGTAATGGAGCATTACTACGTTTGGTGAAAATACAGGCACGCGGGACTTGGCACTTGTCTTGAAGGAGTTGGAATAAAAGTTAGAAGAATGAATAGGGCAGTTTAAAGAAAGAGTAACAGAACACCGTAAGGTGCGCCTGAGGATAGTGCTGTGAAAGACGAATCAATCTTTGAGGTAGGGAGGAGAGGTGGAATTAAAAAGAACAGAGTACAGAAGGGGTAAAAGGCGAAAGTCCCTTCTACGACGGATGGTAACCATCCCAGTTTGGATCGGAAGTCTGAGACATGGTCGAATTTACGCAACGTAAAAATGAACCTAATTCAAAGATTGTGCAGCCGCTCAAGCTGGATAAGAAAGCATCCGCATAATCTAGTAAAGGCAGAAGGAGTGACTGTGCCAGACTGATTTTGTCGGAATGGTTAGAAAATTTCCCAGACGTCGAAGGGAATTGTAAGGAGCAAACATCCGACTACTAACCTTGGTGACCTGAGGTTTCCAAGTTAGGCTCTTATCAAAAGTGACCCCAAGGTTCCTAACGGTATCCTGTATAAGGATTAGAATATCATCGAATAAGATGGGAATAACTACCATATAATATAATATAAATAAAAATAAAAGAATAGCTGCCAATAATTATACACTGGATCTTGACAGGACCAATGACTCTAAGCGAGAATCCCGTCAAGATCTCAAGTTAGTATTCTTAATGCCATCAGGGAAATCAATTAGTGGTTTGTGAATAAATATGAAGAAAAATCTGTATAGAGATGATATGAAGAAGAGAGTGAAGAGGTGATGGAAATGATGACTATTGAAAACAAAAGAGGGGATAAAACGCCACCCTGCGGCACACTAGCTGTAAAATTACACCACGTGGAAAGTATATCGTCACATCGAACGCGCTGTCAACTACCGTGTAGGTAGTTTCTAAACCAGTCAATTACTGTCAATGAAATGCCAAGAGAACCAAGCAGAGCAAACAATATTTCGAAATCGACAGTATTGAAGGCATTGCTGAAGTCCAATAACGTGAGCACAGTAAGCTGCTGATTGTCCATCCCTAATCGAATATCATCAGAAATCTTGACATGAGCAGTAGTCGTACTATGACCCGAGCGGAAACCGGACTGAAATTAGTTCAAAAGGTTGTGATGGGCAAGGAAAAGAGTGAGATGGTGGTGGACTAACCTTGCAAGGACTTTGGAGAGGAAAGGTAGAATAGATATCGGGCGATATTCGGATAAGGAAGTAGGATTAGCTTTTTTTGGAAAAGGTATAATTTGGGTATCTTTCCATGCCGTAGGAAAAGCACCAGATGAAAAAAACACCAGATGAAATGGAGGAGTTAACGATCTTGAAGTGATGATATTACGACTTATGCAGTCACACCCAATGGCATTCGATGACATGGCAAGGATGTTCTTCTTAACTTCACAATCAGTTACTCGACTAAAGTGAAATGGGGAAGTATTAGGTGTTGGCAATGAAAAGAGACTTAGGTTTTCGCGATTGTTACATTATTTATTGTTACTTTTTCCGAATTTAAATCGCGTATATTTGTTTTTTTAAACAAACCAACAACGTTTCGGGCCCTTTACCGGTCCCATGATCACGGTTGACTGAGGTGGTACAGTCATCAACCAGTTATGTCTAATATTAATGCAAGCCACTCTATTTTTTCACTATAGTTACAAAAGTTATTAATTAAATACCTTATTTTTAATTTTACAAGGAAACATTCCAATTTACGCTACATTTACGTTTTACAAATTATTTCATTGAATGAATTTTTATTAAGTTAAATTTATTGATAATTCATAATAGAAATTACAACAAATTAAAACATATTAATTGAAATTTGAATAATATTGGCTTTCAATTTCATACTAGAATGTAATTAATTTGACAAACTCAACACTGTGTGCGCTGGAAAACTTTGACACTTTAGAGTGGATATTAATAATATCCATAAGTGGTAAGATATTATAAATTCAAATACTTGACTCAACTACACTCACCGGCACATTTAACGGAAACAAGCAAAATCTGCAAAACTTTGCAGTGTTTTTTTTAATCTGGCCAATTATTAGTACTACAGTCTTATGTCTGTTTGGGATTTTTCATCATAGGAAATACTGGATCCCAAACTGGTGGTACCGAGAAACCATCTTCTCTGTTGAAATTAGGATGTTTTTTAATTTCAATGGCCTCTCGCAGCATCCTGGGTAGATAACGGCCTTCTTTTGCAAAGACCTGGGGTTTGTCAAACTTCATTGAATGTGTAGTAATATCCATGAATATCCATGACATGCTCGCAGACTGCAGACTTGTTTACGCGACGATGTCTGACATCAGCTACGTTCTTTGACGCGGGTACAAATACTTCGTTTGTCCAATATAAGAGAGACCGTACTTCTCGTATACTTGTTTCAAAAAACAAATACATGCTATATAAATCCTGATAAATAGTTTCATTTCCTATGAAAAGAGACGTCGCAGTGTATCTGATTTCACCTTATCATCAAAGGTAGAAGAGGAGAAGTGACTGTTTAGCAGATTTAGGTCCAAATTATTAGGAATTTTGCTTTCTTGACCTTTACCAACGCTCAAAGATTTCAAAAACTTCCAGGCTTTTCATGAGTCTCCGTTTTCAACGGACTTATGGACATGACGACGTTGAACATCCCTAGCGAGTGTCGCAGCGATTTCGGACACGGTGGTGTTTTTTCCGATTCACATGAGACGGATTGGCTGCAAACACAGACTTAGCTCTATTTCGAATACAAAAATATGTTTTCGAATAATATCATCAGGCTAAGGTATTAGAAAAAGAAAAATCAATAATAAGAAAAGGATCAAATATTATTTTTGAATACCAAATATTAATTTAGTATGCTTAAACATAACGATAGTTTATATATAACCTAGAATGCGATTCATTTATAATTTATCCGTAGATCAACTAATATAGACGGAACAATTAGTATACATATCGAACATAAAAAAAAATATCGTTTATATAAAAAAGTGCACATTTACAATATATCAATTATATCTTTGATTATCAAATAATATTATCCCTTCCTAATGCACCAAATACGAAATTTCCAATCGGAAAAAAATTGGAAACGGAATTCCGACTGTGCCAACCTAAGGGCGCGTTCTCATTATGTCGTGACGACAGATAGTCGTGCAGTTTAAAGTGTCGCGGTTTGTATATTTAAATTAAGTTATTCACACATAGAACAACACGATTAACTATCGTTTACGACTTTTTTGACGTTACGACGACAGACTGTCGTGACAATGGGAAGGGCTAGAACGACAGTCGATAAATGAAACGTCACGATAAAAATGTGACGACAGATAATCGCACCTTCAAACAATTCTGTCGTGCAAACGACACGATGACGATAAATTGTCGTCACGATCTAGTGGAAACAGCTAGACGCGACAGTCGTCCAACGATAAATAAAACGTTACCATATAATGGGAACGAGCCCTAAGAGGAATAATAAAATACCTAGACGCCCGCCTCACTTCATATTGATTTATCAATGAAGTGCCTCTTGAAAGCCTTTTGATTTAATATTTGAGCGGAAAAATTCAATTTATTTCACCGCCTCCGCAAGCAGCTTTTAACTTGGCATGCCAACAAGAGTTCAAGGCCTTAAGTCTGCTAATTTTTAACCGACTGTAAAAAAGGAAGAGGTTCCCAATTCGAATGTACTTTTTTTTGGGACTTGTGAACTGATTTTGATGATTCTTTTGTTGTTGGAAAGACGGTACCTACCATAGTATTGATCCCATATAAATTCGAAGAAAATATTCACCTCTAAGGGTGGCAAACTAGGGGATGAATCCAGTTTCGCGATTTTTCCAGTAACCGATTTCAACAAAACCTGGCAAATAGGTGTAATTGTAATTTTTAAGTTTATTGAAGGGCACGATGTTTTACTAAAATGTTAATAAATTATTTTTTATGAAATTACTCCACTAGTTTGTCATAATTATTATAACAAATAATAACTATATAAAGACACAAAATTTTCACATCGCATGGTACATTGCATCTTAAAATCATTCATAATATTTTAACTAATGTAGAAATGCTTACTATCCATCCTTGGCGGTTGCCTACAAGGAGAATGGTAATTGAAATACATACTCTAGTAACTTCATTCAAACGTGGCCCGTACTTGAGCGCCATAAGCAGGAGCTGCGTGTCACGGAAATGAAGATCCTGCGCTGGATGTGTGGAGTTTCACGGAAAGACCGTGTCAGAAACTCCCGCATCCGCGGCAGCCTTCACGTCCGTGACATTGCAGATAAACTGCAAGAAAGCCGCCTACGTTGGTACGGCCACATCTTTCGGAAACCGGCATGCTACATGGGAAACAAATGTCTATGGCTATGCCACCTCCGCCGGGCCCCGGTAGACGGGGGAGGCCCAAGAACTGCTGGCTTGACGTCGCCAAGGGTGATATGCGTGCCAATGGTCTCACCACTAAGGATGCCGAAGACCGTGCAAAGTGGAGGAGAAAAAGCAGGAAAGCGGACCCCGGGCTCCGCAGCAACACTGCTGAGGACGCAACCGGGACAACGCTCAGATGAGAGAGAGAGAGACTCTAGTAACTTCATTTCATCATTCTGGTGATAATACAAAAGATGATAATAGCAGCATTAAAAAAGGTCTTTTTTTTTTAATGACGAGTTGTTTACATTAACATCCCATTGCTGGGACGATTATTTTATCTTTAAACAACAAGTGATTTTGTGATTTCGGCATCTAAAACTAATTTAATCTTGTTCATTCACCATTAATGTTAGATGTACCTACTTTTGTTTAATATTATATAATGATATGTAAACAAGGGAAACCTGTTATTAGCTTTACGCTTAGCCTATATACTATGTAAAATATTTTATGTAACGCCATTGGTTTTCTGCTCTGCCAATTAAGCCACGGAACGAACCGGCAAATATGACGAACTTGTCTATGTGTTTGTTGCAGTTGTCTGTTTTTGGTATTTTAACGACTTTTTGACCGACTTCAAAAAAAGGAGGTTCTCAATTGGACTGTATTTATTTATTTATTTAATAGTTTATTGTACAGGAAAAATATTACAAGTCACAAAGAATACAAGCAAATTAAAAACAAAAGGTTCTACTTATTTCTAATAGAAATTTCTTCCTGCAGACCTAAATACAGGACATTATAACTAAAAGTACAATAAAAAAATAAAAAGGGCATATGTGCACAACAAAACAAGGAAAAAAAAAAAAAAATAATATTAAATTGTTATAAATTATATAAATACTTAGATAAATACATATTTTATAATATAATACCTAAGATATGGACGGAATAGTAGATAAATAATGCTCCTTAACTCTCGCTTTAAAAATAGCTAACGATTTACTTTCGTGAACAGTAATAGGAAGTGCATTCCAAAGTCTGACCGCGTGAACAAAGAAGGAGTGAGAATAGAAACTGGAATTGAAGCATGTACACTGAAGCACTGTATATTTTCTTTTGTAATTTACGTGATAACTACAGTATATATATACCGTACAATGAACAATTACTAAAAACATCACGCAAAGCTCAAAAGAAAAGAAAACATAGCACATGCAACATGCATTGCCCACGTATTGAAGCGCTTTAACACAGTAATCAATTTGATTTATCGATTCTATGGTGTAAACATGTACGTATTACGTATTACGCCTCAATACTCTGGAACAACGCCTTCGTGGTGACCGCATCGAGACTTATAAAATTCTGATGATTCAGTACAATCTACCAGCAACACAAAACACCTTTAAAAGAAAACTTTAAACCGTCTCATGGCCACCATTTGAAACTAGTTCGTACACCTTTCAAAACTCATGCTGCACACAATTTTCTCAGCAACAGAGTGGTGCACAATTAGAACATGCTACCGGAAGATATTGTTTCTGCTGTCTCTGTTAATGTCTTAAAAACAAGCTCGACAACTGGCTACGAAAGAGTGAATTGGTGCTAAAAAAGGTGAACTAAAACAAACAATATGAATTTTAACACTGTGTGTTGTAGACATACCAGCAAAAGCTGCTCATCTATAATCAAATAAATAACTAAATCTCCATGGATAAATATTCCGTTGTACACATCAAGTAGTTGGGGTAATTTTTTTTTTCTACTCCTGGTCTATTATAATTTTATAGACCATATCATAAAAGAGATCTTTTTAGTTCTGAATCAAAATTTATTGTCTTTGGTGCTCACCATTGAGATAAAAATTTTTATTAAAGTTCTGTAAGAGTTTCAAAAAAGAACATCATATTTTTGCTAATTAAAATATCAATTAGGACGCTCTACTACTGCCTCCTGATTGGAAATTATTGGCTAAAATATATGCAGTACTTGGACAGAACTACGTATAACTGCCGAATGCATATAAGTATTCATCTAATGCCATCCAATGAGTGCTGCAAGATGGCTCTACGGTACTTAAATGTTACTGGACAAATAAATTGTTCACCTGGAGGTAAACAACAAGTCTGCACATAACAGTTGCTGAGGCGCAGCTGCCACCATTTGCGTCACCCTAAGAAAAGTTCCATGCGCTTAAAATTTCAGCAACTTAAAACCAATAACAAAAACACAATAATAATGTAGGGTAATGCAACTAATCAAAATATAAAAAGTGTGAAACACTTCTTGTTGTGGGATACAACCACATTTTCGTATTAATTATGTCGTAATAATATACATTTAAAACATTCCATTTGTTTACTATCTTTGCTTCTCTGGTTTTTTATTCTGCAACATTTATTTACGAATATTTGCAAATATTATATATAAATTACGAAATGCTACATTATTATGTCTTTTGTTTAAATATATGAAGAGGCTGTATAGTGGAACCTAAGAATAATATCGCATAGAATGATAGTTTCATATCAAACGAACAGTCACAAGTGAGGCAAAAATCAAATTCATGTGGGCTAGTTAATAGTAGGTTAATTTTCAATTTTAGTGAATATTTATATAAAAATACAAGTTGAAACGCGTTACTTCCTTGTGGAATGTGATGTTAGTATCTATTTTATGTTTGTCTGATGTATTTTTACACTCATTTACCGCACATTTCGTCATTTTTAGCTAAAATTCTGGAGCTGTTCACGGTGCAAGTTGACCTTGAGCACTAAAGTCCCGCCCGCTCGTGTAGGCCCATTAGGAGCACTTCAATTTGCCTCATTTAGCGTGTGCGGACTAGGTTCTATGCGTCATTATTCTAAAGGTGGAACCTTTGTCTACCGTAATAAATAGGATAAAATTTATTTAAATAAAATTGCTTTTGTTGTCATAGATTGTTAACGAAATATACATTAAATATTGGTTATGTTTCATTATTTTATTTACTTGTAGAAAAAATATTGTATGCAATCATTACATAATTAGGTCTTAAAATCTCGCACCTATTGCTTAGATCTTAAAATTACAATTGCAACAGATATTGTTTGTTTTTCGAACCTGATTTCAAGAATAATTAATTAAAAATGGTACGCATGCAATGTGAAAATTTTAAATGTCACAGTGTCACCTACGTGAAATGGACTTTAATGGTGTAATTTCTCAAAAAATAATTTAATATTGTAGTAAAATCTCATATATTCAATAAAAATAATAGGTATTATTTTTGTTTATAGTTTAAGTTGGTAACATTGATAATATGATTAAAAAACCATCCCATAAAAATGTTAAAATATCATTCACTCTATTTTCGCAAAAGATGAAGAATTTTGCAAACGGTTCTATAAACATAATACGGAATTAAAAATAACTTTATACCATTGTAAATCGAAAAACATACCGTGTTGTAGATTAAATAGTAATTTATTCTCCCAAAAATAACATACTAACGATATTTTTATTGCAAAAATTGATCATATGAAAACGTCGCACAAAATATAAACAAACTCATACCGTTTATGTTAGGATCCACGGTGGCAAATTCACTTCACACACTTACAGTAAATATTTAACTACTCGTCAGAGAACTACAATTGTGTAGTTCTAGCCTACAAAGTAGGAAAATACCGCAAAATCTAGATATCCTGAAAGAATTCCCGTTGATTTTTGACACCCCGGCCGGTAATACTAATAAATTGAATAGTCCAGACAATACGGTGGTATGTTGCGTTCGAAACCTCGAGCCGTACTGAAATTTTACCTATAAATTTATCTACACTTATAAATAGTTGATAAAAACTACTTTAATACATACATGATAAACTGTTTGAAAAAATCTAGGATATTTAAAGTAAACTCAAATTTAAAATTTAAGTAAATCTACCAAAGTTTTTAAAATCACTTGGCCTTATTCGAGGTCACCTAATTTTGCCGGTTAGTAATTTTCAGGCAAAAATATCTGTATTTTCTAGGCGTCATAAATAAATTTATTTTCTACCTACCATTTAAAACAACAACTGATTGTTAATTATTTGATTTTAATAAAATATACATGTAAATTGTAATTCAGTTGGAAAAGTATTGTTTGAAGTTAGTATAATCCGATCAAAATTAAAAGTACTATCAATTTCATTCATCCGAACACCAATACAACCTGATAAATTTTGACGCATTACTATTTACTTACCTCTTCCTCTTGCCATCTAGCGGAATTTTGTAAAACTTTTTAGTCCCGAATTTTCAGTTGGTTATCGCACCCTAACAGCGCCATCTATTAACTTTATTCAAAATTTATTCAGTGTGAAAGCTTCACTGATAGTTACACATTCGGTCACTAGATATCAGTTGCAAAGAATACTATTATTCAACAATCTGATGCAAAAATATGAGTAAATAAAAACACTTAGGGTCGTATTCTAGAACTCTACTC